GAGGTGTTTCTGACCTCCGTCTCATAAGAATCCAGCTTGTGTGATGGTTTTCATCCTCCACCTGCTGAAGGTAGTGGAAGCGGTCAAAGCGCTCTGTCCCCACGCCATTTTTCAAAATGGCTCTAAGCCCTTTCCACGGGCTAGTTACCTGGCACAACAGCTTTGTTCATCTCAGCTGCCATCGAGTCAGTTTGCACTCATAGGGACCACACGTGTCACAGAAGGAAAACTGCCCGGTCTTGCACCATCCCCACAGTCCCGGCTATGTGTAAGCTCATTGTCCCAGCCACTGTGCCAGTCTGTCTTGTTGAGGGTTTCCTCTTTGTCGCTGTCCCTCTATTTTACCTAGCCTTTCAGGTGGGTTAGAGGTTTTAGTTCTACTTCAAGAGAAGGGATTGGATCAGTGCCCTTACTGTATCCCCACCACTGATCTCTTCATCTTGACTACCACCTGGGCCCCCGGAACTAGCCCCTTTGCTCAGAGGCACAAGTAAGCTTCATATCGAAACCTGTTGCCCACAAGTTGATTCAGGTTCCCAGGGACCTGGTGGGACAGAGCAGGACTGCTTCAGAAGGCTTTCAAGGTTGTCTGTCTTTACTGAAGCGGACTGCCACATCTTTCTCCTTCGGAGCTGCTGCTGGGCTCAACTGCCAGCTTTTTAGTTGGCTGCCGGGTGTGTAACCTCTGTGCCACCAGGGCTCCTTACACACCCGCTTAGAGGTAACATAACTTGCCCAAAGCCACCAGCTGGGAAATGCGAGGGTCCGGCTTCAGACCCTGGTTATCTGATCATCGCCTTTCGCTTACTCTTCTGCATCCACCTCAAGACCCACCCAGACTGTGTGGTCAGCCATTCCTTGCCACTGGTCTTCTGAACCCCATTTCTGAAGCTCCCCGTTTGTCCCAGCTCTCACTGCGTACTGCAGCTGACTCCCCTTATTCTTTAGTTTCCTGCCGGGACCTCTGTGTGTGTGCATGGCTGTCCTAGGTGACAGCAAATGGCCTCGCTGTGCTTGCCTGGAGTTTCTGGGGTTCAGGTGACCATCTTCTGTCCCAGTCAGCTTCCCGCCAGGAATGAATGGCGTGCTCTGCCTGTGTTTCAGGATGGAAGGAGGAGAGCTGTTTGACAGGGTGGTGAGGAACAGACGCCTGAGAGAAGCTACCTGCAAGCTCTATTTTTACCAGATGCTCCTGGCTGTGCAGGTAGAGAAGCTCTGGGGTCTGCTGACAACCGCCTTTTTTTCAGGTGCACCACGGGCTGCCTGAGTTAGGCAGGAGGAGATTTCGGAACCGTGGGCTAAAATCTGAAGATAAGAGGGGGTGTGTGTTACTCTCCTTGGCCAAAACAAGTCTACCTCTTTGCCCACTGTTTGCTCCAGGTGGCAGAACTGTCGTGGGGAAGCTTAAGAGAGGGAAGGAGAACAGATAAACACACATCCCTCTCTGGCTTTAGCTCGGACAAGCTTCTGGAGGAACATTCGTCTTTGCTTTTGCCTTGTCCTTATCGGAATCCTCTTTGGCGTTTGACAGGGTGGGGCAGGGAGGACAGGGTCAGGCCGCCAGGTTGGGGGGATCCCAGAATCCAGTCTTCTTACCTCAGTTCTGTGACGGGGATGGGTGGTTTAGGTGGGGCCGGGGTCAAGGAGCAGCACCATTTAAAACCAAATTTAAAAAAATCATAGTAATGATTTTTTTTGGAATGTGAGTATATACCAAACCGAAAACCAAGCCCACTGCCATCGCATGGAGTCCATCATAGCGACACTGTAGGACATGTAGAATGCCCCTGTGAGCTTGCGGGACTGGTTTGCTGCTACCCATTAGCACCACCAGAGAAAGACCTGGCAGTTTACTCCTGTAAATATGACAGCCAAGGCCACTGTGGAGTAGTTCTACTCTGTAACACATGGGTCAAAACCAACATGCTGCTGTAGGTGGGTTTTTATTTCTTTTTCTTTAGTTTTGGCTATGGAGCCCTGGTGGTGTAGTGGTTACACGCTAGGCTGCAATCTGTATGGTTGGCAGTTCAAAACCACCAGCAGCTCAGAGGGAGAAAGACTGGGCTTTCTACTCCTGTAAGCAGTATGGTTTCAGGTTTTATGGTCTCAGACACCCACTGGAGGTCACTATGAGTC